CTCCCGCCGCGCGGGCCGAGCATCGTCCTGCGCTTGCGCGGCGTGGGGTCGCCGGGCTGTGACGTGACTTTGCGGCGACCCGAGAAAGCCACCGTCCCCTGTCCTGAGTCCCACCCTCGCGTCCTGAGCTCCAGCTCCAGCCTGGACCTTCGAGCCCGCGGCGCCGAATTCCCACCCCGGCTTCTGGCCCCGAGTTTCAGAGCCCCAGCCCCAGCGTTAGAGGCGACGCTCTCCAGGCTTCGCCGGGTCGCAGCGCTTAGACCGGAAACGGGGCAGCCGGGGCGGTCCTGGGGCCGCGTCGCTCCCCTCGCTCCGTTTCTTCCAGCGTTTAAGGAAATGAGGCAGGTGCCACAGACCCGGGGGCAGCCCTAGCAGAGCCTTCGCAAGTACTGAAACCTTTCAGAAACCGGAGGTCACCTGGGCTGCGGGTTACGTTAAGACAGGCATTTGGGATCTGGCTGGGGTAGGCTGACGAGACCGGACTTCATAGCCTCTTCTGAGACCTCTTTTCCTGGCGTTGGCTAGCCCAGCCCCGTCTCAGCAAAGATCCTGCCAGGTCATCCCCCCAACCTTGCCATCTGACCAGCCTCGTCCCCCCCGGGTGACGTCTGGTCATCCTGGCCTGACTTTAGCAAGATCTACCCTTGAAGTCTCGTTTTCCATCCACTGGTCCCCCCGCTCTGCTCCTCGTCTGTAAAGCCCCCACTTGTCTTCCTTACATTTGGAGTGGAGCCCAGTCTCTCTCCCCTGTTGCAATAACCTCGGATAAAGCCTTCCTTACCATTTTAACAAGTGCCAGGGTAATTTTTTCTTTCTGGGTGGTCAAAGATTGTTTCCCTGGATGTCACAGCAACATCTGAAGCCCAGGGCCCCCTAGGTGGGTGGAGAACCTGCCTGTACGTAGGGCCCGTGTCACAACGAGGCGTCATGATTCGGTGGAGGACAGTGGGATTTTGCTGTGGGATCTCCCGTCCCACCCAATCCTGCCATTTATATTATAAAGACAATATAGGGGATCCTAAAAAGAAAAATGTCCCCACAGTGGTGTGACAACTGCTGCTGCTTTCTGCGTTTTGTCCCATGCTCTGTATTTGCGGGGCCGGTGGGAGCGGGGTGGGGCGGTGGGTGAGGGGTTTATCAATCAGATTCTTGCCCTGACTCTCTTACTGGCACCTGGATAAGGTGACCCCAAAGTGGTGTGTGAGCCTCAGGCAACAGATCTTTGGCGTTCTTTAGAGGTGGAGGGCAAGCCTGCAAACAGTGCCAGTCGGCGCTCTCAAACACACTGCTTTAGTAGTGGCCCCTAGGGACCTGTCCTAAGTATCAGGGCAGGAGAGTATGGCTTCTGTATTGGAAGCCTGCTGTCACAGAAAGCCAAGGTTTTGTTGGTGGCCTGTAGGGACACTGTGGGTCCATCACCGGGAGGAACCGTTCCGGGAATAGGCTGGCCTGTGGGCTGGGGAATGCGGAAGGGGTCAGTGCTCACTGTGGCGATGGGTGGCTGCTGGGTCAGTGTCAGATTTGGGAGGATAGGGCGTCTCAGAGCAGTGCGTTCCAAGTTCTTAGCCAGCAAGCAGGCTGGCTAATGAGGCTTGAGCTAAGACAGGGGTCCCCAACCCCGGGCTGTAGACTGGTACCGGTCCGTGGCCTGTTAGGAACCGGGCCACACAGCAGGAGGTGAGCAGCGGGCAGGCGAGCGAAGCTTCATCTGTATCTGCAGCCGCTCCCCGGCGCTAGCATCACCGCCTCAGCTCCGCCTCAGATCATCGGGCATTAGATGCTCATAGGGGCACCGGTCCCTGGTGCCAGAAAGGCTGGGGACCGCTGAGCTAAGAGAAATGCAAACAGCGGGGCTTGGCCCCACCATGAGTGGCCGGGAGCTCCTGGCAGGCCCAGGCTGTTTGAGCTCACACAGGGTCTCTAGGTGTCCCAACCGGGGAGCCACGTCTAGTGACGGAAGAAGCAGGAGTTGCGGGGAACGGCAGAGCAGGCTGGGCCAAGAGGCAGTGCGGAGCGTGCAGAGGGGCCGTCCCGGGGGAGGGGAGGGACGCGGCAGCAGGAGGGAGAAAGACGCGCAGGAGCTGCTGCTGGGGAAACGGGCGTGTGACATGGCACTGCTCGCTTCACTGGGACACATGCCAGTGGGCGGCGGTTGTGGGAAGAGGGCTTTGGGGAGATCTGTGGGCTGGGCCCCGTGAGAATGGCTCCTGTCCCCGCCCCTCCACAGCGCCCAAGGGCTGAGGCCTCCCTGTGCCTCCCTGCGAAGACTAGCCCTGGAGGGGGATGGACAAGTGAGGGGGGCCCGGGCACAGAGGGGTGGAGACTCTGGGCTCAGTTGGGACTCACTAGGGGCGTGTGCTCACCCCACCCCGAGCAGGGGCTGGGGAATGGGGACCCCGCCTCTGAGTCCAGGCAGCCCCGCGTCCGCAGGAAGCATCTGCTTGTCTTCTGGGCTGGGGCTGGGGAGGGGCTGCCGTCGGGGCCCCACATGGGGGGCTGGGGGGAGGATGTAGGCGTGTTTACGTGGGCCGCCTGTGGGCGACAGGGTGGTCGGGTGTGAATCGGTTGAAGGTCCTGGTGATTCCGGTGACATTTGTGAAGTGAGGGCTCTTCATGGTAAGCAGACGTGTGTTTTGAGTTGTGTCACTGTGCCTTTCCCAGAATTCCATCCCATGTAGCTCCAGGGGGACTTGTCTCAAAAAGAAACTGGTGTGTGCTGTGGACGGCGGGAGAGGAGCAGAGGCCACCGTCACCTCCGAAGGCCGTCCCGGTCACAGACGGGGTGATGCGTGAGGGCCCTGGGGTCTTCCCAGCGGCCCTGCCCTCCACCCGCTCCCCAGTTCCTTTGCAGGCTGCTCCCTGCCTGGGGCTGCTCCGCGATCCCCTTCTCCAGCTTCTCCTTTGAGATGTGCAGGTCCCCAGGATGTGCAGTCAAAGTGCTGTAACGTGTCCTGTTTTGCAACATTCGCAGGGTTTTGCTTCCCTAAATGGACCCCGGCCGGCGGGACAGCCAAAGTTGCTTCAACCAAAAATGAAACAGTGGCTCACGAGAAGCCAAGGGCTGTGGCTTCAACTGTGGCTCAATCTAGGGTCTCAGTCTCCCCGCTGGCCCCCCGCAATTGCCACATCCGGGCGCCACCCACCCTCTGCTCCAGGCCCACACCTCGGCAGCCCTAAGTCCTGCAGAAAGAATGCTATTTCCCAACAGCTCAGGGGCAGGTTTGGGGACTGGCCCGGCGTGGGTCCCATGCCACCTTGGACCCGTCGCTGTGACTGGCTGCACAATGCCTGGCTGCCAGCCTGAAAGGGGCGGGGACCCAGAGAAGCATCTCCCCAGAGAAGGGGGGACCCACTGCTGCTGCTTGTCCACAGTGGCCCCGCGGCAGGCACCCACCACGCCCTCTGTCGCTTGCTCAAACTGCCGGATTCCAGCGGAGACGTCCCTCTCCCAGCAGTCACCCTGGGGCTCCCACGGAACGCCCACACGCCTGGCACCCTGGGATGCTCACTGTGGCCCTGGCCACAATAGGGCGCTCTTTGCTCTCTTCGACAAAAATAATTCGGCATCTCCAAAGGCCTCGCTGACTGAATCTGGTTCTAACGCCGCTAAGTCACAAGCTTCACATCTGCCACCGCCAGGTGTCCAGTCAGACATGTGTCCCGACTCCCCTGGCACATTTCCTGTGCCCACGACTACAGCGGTCCAGCCTCACCGGCCCCCCTGAGCCCTCGGGACCACGGGGTGGGAGGGACTTCCTGTTTAAGATGGCCCGTGGGGTGGCAGAGGCCAGGGTGCTGGGCCCAGCCCTGTGCGCTTTCGGCGATGGTGCTGCGGGGGCCACCAGGGCCCAGGGACGGGGCCACTCTCCTCCCGGAGCTCTGACCCCTGGGTCCTCAGCTGGGGGCCACCACACAGCGGGGCAGGACCCCAAGGCTCGGGGAGATTTGGGCTGGACGGCGACAGCAGAGTGTCCAGGAAGCGAGGAAGCAAGCCGCCTCCCGCGGGCTGGGAAGGTGGCAGAATCACTCCACGCTCACAAGGTCACCCTCAGGGTGGACAGTGCCCCCTCTCCCCGAGTTTCCTTTGGGGACTCCCAGCTCCCAGTGATGAGGAAGCGGCTGCAACTTGTTTGAGAGCAGGGGGGGTCCCAAGATGAAAGAACCAGGAGGGAGCACGTCAGCCTGGGGCCACCGCTGCAGGCCGCTGCCACAGAGGAGCTCGGGCTGCGAGCATGGGGCCACCGAAGGAGGGCGGGAAGGGGTCCTGGCGAGGTGGGCGCTGTGGCCCGAGGTGTGGGTGCTGCCTGGAGGGCTGCCTCAGACAGCTTCCAGCTGAGACCCTCCCAAGAGACTGCCGCTGCCCAAGGGTGTGCCTCTCTGCCAGTCATGGGGGGGCGGGTCACAAAGGCAGGGCCCTGTGGCTCCCGGTGGCAGCTCCGTGGGCCACTTGGCCTCAGAAAGCTCCTGCGTGGCAGCCTGGAGCTGCTGCTCAAGTCCGTAAAGTGGGCGAAACTCTGCTCCCTTCCGTTGGGCGGGTCCAGCACCCCCGGAGCTGGAAGCGGTTGGGTGGGGTGTTCTGGCAATCAGCAGAGAGGGACTCTACTGGGCGCAGCTGG